GTGGCCCGGGCCTGCGGCATGGTGGACCCTCAAGAGCGGCTGGTCATCGTCCACGCCACCCCCCCCGAGCGGGGCCAGCCTGCCTGCCTGGAGCTCCTGCCGGCGGAGCCCCCCGCCACCGCGAACGGGGTCAAGGTGAGGCCGGCCCAGCCTTCTGGCCACACACCCGAGTACCCCACCCCCGAGTCACCTGAGTCCAGCCCTAGCCCCTGGTGGGTCGGAGATGCTGAGCTGAGCTTCCTGGGCCCCCAGCATCCTGAGCAGGCCGCGAGCTACACCGTGGAGCCAGACCCCCGCACCAGCCACCTGGCCCTCAGTGGGTCCACCTTCGCTGTCCTTTTGAAGCACTTTCCCAAGCTGCTGCCCAAGGTAGGGCTGTCCCCCACACGCCGGCCACCCCACGCCTCCCTTTCCTCTTGGCTCCGCCGCGTCCTGGGCTGGCCTGTGGCTGCTCAGTCCCTCCCCACCTCCCTCTGCCCAGGTCCTGGTACAGGGCACTGTCTTTGCCCGCATGGCCCCTGAGCAGAAGACGGAGCTGGTGTGTGAGCTGCAGAAGCTTCAGTGAGTGCCCGGGGGTGGGGGCCGCGCCAGCTGCTCAGACCCCACCTCCCGCTCCGGGCAGTAGAGAGCCCATGGCCTCCAAGAGTGCCCAGGCGGTTCCCCAGGTGTCCGGCTGCGCGCCCGTCGTGTGCCAGGTCCCTGCATGCCGCGGGGGCACAGCCGCCCTGAGCTCTGCCCGGAGCGGGTGGAGCTGCTTCCCCGGGAGGCGGCGACTCGGCTCAGCCACCGCCCGCCCGCGGCCAGGTACCGTGTCGGCATGTGTGGGGACGGTGCCAACGACTGTGGGGCCCTGAAGGCGGCCGACGTGGGCATCTCGCTCTCCCAGGCCGAGGCCTCGGTGGTCTCGCCCTTCACCTCGAGCACGGCCAGCATCGAGTGTGTGCCCATGGTCATCAGGTGAGGCGGGCGCGGGCCAGCGGGCGGGGCCGGGCTGGCCAGCCAGTGAGGCCTGACACCGGACCCTGCCGCCCAGGGAAGGCCGCTGTGCCCTCGACACGTCGTTCAGCGTCTTCAAGTACATGGCCCTGTACAGCCTGACCCAGTTCATCTCTGTCCTTCTCCTCTACACAGTGAGTTTGAGCGGGGCGCAGGCCTGCGTGAGGACCCCGGCAGTGTGGTTCGGAGGCCCCGGAGTGGGCGGCCGAGTGCCTCCTTCTGGTGGCGGGCTGGAGTGAGGTGCCAGCGCTGAGCCTGGTGCACAGTGGGGCCTGGGAAACGGGAGCAGCTGGCCTGTGCTGCTGCTCAGTCCCTGGCCCCGGGGACCCCACCACAGCCCTTGCAGCTGGGGTGGAGGCAGAGCCCAGGCAGGGCTGTGGCCACCCTGCTCCCTCCCCTTCTCTGAGAAACGCTGCCCCCCAACCCCCATGGAAGCGGAGGATGCCATGGGGCAGGGCCGGGCAGATCTGGCGCCTCCATCTGTGCCATGTCCACCTTTAATCTGGGCGTTTCCTGAGGCCAGGAGCCATCCCTAGAAGCTTGGGGGCTCCAGGAGGCAGAGCCTAAGTCTCCCCCACGGGCTGGGAGTTCCCTGTCCCATCAGATTGAGGTCAGGCTTGGGGCTCCCTGAGGCAAGGCAGTGTCTCCTTAAGGAGGCTGGAGTCTCCCATCTCATTGGGGGCTCCCCGGGGGCTCCCCTGGGGCTGGGTTGAGCTCAGGTCCAGTCTCAGTTTCCCCTCTGCCCCCCTCCCCTGCCGACAGATCAACACCAACCTGGGCGACGTGCAGTTCCTGGCCATTGACCTGGGCATCACCACCACGGTGGCCGTGCTCATGAGCCGCACGGGGCCGGCCCTGGCGCTGGGGCGGGCACGGCCGCCCGGGGCACTGCTCAGTGTGCCGGTGCTGGGCAGCCTGCTGCTGCAGGTGGCCCTGGTGGCCGGCGTGCAGCTGGGCAGCTACTTCCTGACCACAGCCCAGCCCTGGTGAGTGGGGAAGCCACCCCCACCCCATGCGTGCTCCCCACCTGCTTCCCTGACCGCCTGGTCCCTGCACCCCCAGGTTTGTGCCTCTGAACAGGACGGTGCCCGCGCCAGACAACCTGCCCAACTACGAGAACACTGTGGTCTTCTCTGTGTCCGGCTTCCAGTACCTCATCCTGGCCGCGGCTGTGTCCAAGGGGGCGCCCTTCCGCAGGCCTCTCTACACCAACGGTGCTGCTGTGGCGGGGGCG